TTATTATTATTATTATTGTTGTTGTTGTTGTTGTTGTTGTTGTTGGCGTATATTCTATTACTGACCACGCTATACAATTAACGTGTGTACTTGTTCCAGGGTCAGCTTTTCAGTTGTATCCCTCATTACGACAAGGTTGTTACGCCTTGAAGTGTGAATTATGAGATGATAGGATGATGATCAAGGGTGAAGGGACAATCACAAATACGACTAGGCAAGACTCGAACCTGCAGTCTCCGGGGCTCAGACGACATTATTATTATTATTATTATTATTATTATTATTATTATTATTATTATTATTATTATTATTATTGTTATTGTTATTATTTGAATTAAAACATACTCTGAGCTATTATTTCTGATACAGTACCTGCACTTTGTACAGGCTTTCGTTTTACTTGAAAAAATCCATAAAATATGTTGTGTGCAACTCAAAATGATTTTTCGACATAGAGCGCCGAAGAAACTGCACGATACAAGTAAAAAACCATTCTAATCAGCGCCACACTGTCACTGTGCCATGAAGTTATTAGCAGATCTGTGTAAAATCTCTGAGCCAATTTACAACCGGCGATCGCTACACGATGGCCATGCAATACTTCTCGCGCATTTTGCCAGGCATGGTCGAGAACGGCCGACTGAGGTTCTACATGACAGGCTGAGATTTAACGCGTGCATTAATACGTAATATCTAATCTCTTGCATTGTCTCCTGTTATGTCTGTTTTTCGTTTAAATATGTGAAATATATTTCAGTAAAATCAGTATAATTTGACTACTCACACAATTCTCTAAAAGACTTAAACAGTAATATTTCATTATTTTGCCTAGTCATCGCCACATTTATACATGACGGGTCTTCTCGGGTTGTAAATACGAGTCCTACATTTGGAAATAGTAAGCTTTTTCTTGATCTTGGAGTTTTTGTGCTTACAGGACACGTCATTATTTCGTCTCCGAGTATACTTTATTAAATTTGTTGACTCCGTTTTCTGAACCGCTCAACTGCACAAATGAGTTACTAAACTATATTAATATGATTAGTTGAGTTCAAATGTAGATGTCATATTTCTCTTTCTGACAATATGATTGATTTGTTCATCTTAATTCCGGCATAAATAATTAATGATCAATGATTGTTTGAGAATTATGTATAAACACAACACTTCTGAAAAGACCTCGATTAAACGAGCATCTCAATTAACAGCTATTTTTTCACGGTACGGATCGATTTTTTCATTAAACGTGTGTAAATATTTCCTCTTTTAAGCGGTCTAACGACACAGCGGCTAGTGGCCAAACACATTTCGCAGTTTAACCTGTATTAGACGGTTACAGTTTCGTTGTTTTGAGCCGTAACAGCTTGAGAAGAGGCATATTATTTATATTTATATATATATATATATATATATATATATATATAACAATTATTGTTGATTGATGACTTGGGGTGCGTAGACAGATTACTTAAAATAGTTATATCTAGAAAGAAATCTCGCAATATTGAATTAAATCGTTTGAGTTTTGTAAATGTTATTTGAAGAATTAATATATGCAAAGAGAGAAAGTGCAACATTGTAGTATGCAACCGTTATCAACAATACGAGAAAGTATGATATTGTAGCTGCCCCAGTTTTTTAATAACAAGAAATAAAAATGTTTACTATTTTAGGTGCAGGTGTTTCGTCATATTTCAAGCCGATCAACCACTGTTTACTTTACACCAGACTCTGTTTTGGACATGACTACACGCTTTCATCAACTTTTCTTGGTCTTGAAAGAAGTTTCCAACCGTCGCTAGTCACGATTATGCATATTTTCTGTGTTCATCGTTTCCTTATTAAATTACTTTTTTGCTGAACGAATATTTCGAATATTTTGCCACTTGATTTCACATCCGCCTCCTCGGCGCGAACGGCACTGGTGTGGAGGAGCCGCCTCAGACCTCTGCTAACAAGTGGTGATACGACGTGCATCTCAAAACATCGACGTTACCCAATATCGATATTCAAAATTAATACATCGACCAAAAACTATCAATGTTTTTTGCTGGGTTAGTAATCTATGACATTAAATTCGTTCTCAACAACATTGAATTTCAGAATGACCATATTTATTAATTTATAATTAAGTTTTAAATGAAAACGAAGTTAAAAAATAATAACCAATAGAAAAAACTAAGCCTAAGTGGCTTTGGTCATCTGAAAGGGTCAATCTTCACTACAGCGAAGACGGTGTTGAGATGAAGGGAGGATGCTGTTCGTCCTCAGCACATACGCTGACTCTATGTGCGAAATAGAAAATAACTAGGAGAGGAACGCGATTATTTCGAACAGGAGAGATTCTGCTCAATGAAGGAACTACAAACAGCGATAATTTCTTTAGAACACAAAAACTGGCAGTGTTGCTATCAGGTCTTACTTAATATTTTAACTTTTGTTTTAAATTGTGATTTTGAGCATTTTTCATATACAAACAAATCATCAAGCACCATACATCGATGTTAAAAACGACGGCTTTATTGTATTGATGTTTAAAACATCGATGTTTTGAAAATATCCACATTGATGTATGATATGAATGAAAATGAGTAGGCACTCCAGAACAGTTACGAATTCAAGTACGAACTACTACTTCTCATAAGAAATTGCTTATTTTCATGTGAATAGAAAGTTTCGGGAAACTTGGAGCATTTACTTCTCTCGTTGAGTAATTACTCACTAACTGATCTGTTGCGATTGATCGTTTTCGTCTGTTTTATTTGTCTCGTTGGCTCGCGACGCAGGCTTGTACCTAATAGTGTCGACCGTATTAGGTGAAGGGATACAGTTTAGGTGCATTGTTGGCAAAATCGTTGAAAATCTTCCATCTCTTCACTCGCTACCTAAAAACCAGGTACCATTAGTCCTGTATAACCTCTCTTCTCTCCATTCAATACGATTTAGGTCACAGAGGTTGTTCCAAAAATACAAATTAAATGCTTCGCCCTAAAAGAAAAAAAATCAATTTTATTCATTCGAAAAGTAAGCAATTGTTTTTGGGCCTAGCAGTTACACACTAATGGGGAAATTGCTCAAGATATAATAGCAGTTACTCATGTCTTTTATTCTTACTGTTTGAAACAAATGCTGTGAAAACTCGAGAGAGAGAGAGAGAGAGAGAGAGAGAGAGACGTAACTACGCGTTTTTATTCACGTCTCCCGTGTCGCATCCCTATTACTCGCGCAACTTTTCTTGAACGCTGGATTGAAGAAATGCGGGTAGTAGGTGTATTAATTACGTAAACAGCCACTAGATTTTATGAGCAATGCCAATCTCCGGGGAATCAGTCACGCCTTCGTAACGTTCTCAATAATTTGCGTTTTAACTTCATCAGGAGTTCGAGGTATCTCCTGTGATAGATCCGTACCTGCTTCGGTCATTTCTTTAGATTTTTGGAGAAAATATCCGATAGAAGTTCTCGTCTTCAAAAGAATATTGTTTCTACTTCGCGCCAGTGAAGAAGTGTTTGGAATGTTGTCATGAGTGCTCCCCGCGAGCTTTTGCCTTCATCTGTTTATTGTGCCAGAGAGGGGGAAGCGAGGTCATCGTTCAAGAAAAGTTGCGCGAGTAATTCCAACGCGGTCTCCTTGCGCGCAGCCCCGTGAGCCGAGCGCGCTCACCCTGGACGCGGTGAAGCAGCACCTGCGCGCCCTGGACAAGGACGTGGGCGCCGTCGTCGTGGACTTCTCCATGACGCTCAACTACCTGCAGCTGATGGAGGTGTCGTTGCTGCTGGAGCGGCCGGACTGCCTCTTCATCGCCGGAGCCACCGACCACGACCTGCCCGTGGAACCCGACATCACTCTCATAGGTGCGTTGCAACGGCTCACGATGCCCTGTAGTTAAAGAGAGGCTTATACTGCGCTCTCAAATGTTAAAAGTGCATGCAAATGTATGCTATCGCATGTACGGCGATAGTTCAAAAAATAAGGTAGTTGTACAAAGATTTCATCTCTTAAAATCATAACTTACATCGATCTTTTCGATCGATGTATTATTAATATAAATCGATATTTTAAACAGGAATATCGATAGTTAGTAACTTCGATGAGTTGTTAACCGTTTTGCATCACTAAATGTGACGTTCACCGTCGGCAGGTCCCGGGTACATCGTGGACATGCTGTCGCAGTTCACCCGTCGCCAGCCGCTGATGGCGGCGAAGCCCAGCCGCGCCGTGCAGGAGGTGGTGGCGGCGCGCTGCCCGCAGCTGGACCCCAAGCGCACGCTCTTCATCGGGGACTCGTACGTTCACCTGCCCAACATGCAGCTCAATCAATTTGATACTGTCTGGACATTTTATTATGTTACCCCAAGTGCACGCTCTTCATCGATGACTCGTTTGTGCACCTGTTCCAACATGCAGCTCAATCAATGTTACCTTCTGGGCATGCTTTTCATCGGGGACTCGTATTTGCAACTACACGAGCAACGCACCAACTGCTCCAAGAAAGCTTAATCAATTATTCTCTCTCCTAACCAGTTCACTTCTCGTGGTTGTGCAAACCTCTTCGATCCAGTCTGATAGAACTCTCAAAGCGTCTCGTTCTTTATGTAGGTTTTAATACCAAATTCGTCCACATTTCTACGTCACGCTGAGAATAAATAACTATTTTGTAGGTAGATTGCTCGCATATCTAACATTGCACTAAAACACCTCCCGCCACCCGCCCTTGCTCATCGATCTTCTATTTTCAACAGCTGTCTGAGAGTCGGATTGTCTCTCCCTCCCTCCCCCACCCTTGCTGGAAAAAGGCAATAGTTTTTCCCATTTTAAAACCCAATATATTACAATTACTCCCATCAAGTTACAGATCAATTAGCTCTTATCAGCATTTGCAAAAGTTTTCGAAAAGCTTTTTGTAATCAGATTAAACGCATTCTTTAAAAAAATAAATGCAATTGTACCACGTTTGAATTCTTTCCTCTTCATTCCTCCAACCACCAATTATTTATAATTGTTGAAATAATCGCAATAGTTTATCAACGTAAACAATCTGCGTACCGGACATATTTCGCGCAGGCGTTGATAAAGACTGACACAGGACCGCTATTCAAGTTATGTCAACAAGGACTCCCGGAATATCTATTCCAAATAATCAAATGATTTCTGCGTAATAGATTCGTTGCAGTAAAAATAAGCAATACGCTAACCCTCCCTATCCCTATTCTAGCCGGGGTCTCCAAGGGTACTCCTTCTCTCCGAGCCTCTTTAGTGTCTTCAAGATTGATAGTCCCTGGCCAATCAACTATCAAACTGTGCTACTGCTCTCTATGCTGATGAGACAGTTTCTATCTTCACGTCCAACGACTTAATCTCAGACGCAAATACCCTGCAACGAGACGTAAATACCTTCTTAGTTTAAACTAAAAAATTGGGCTTACAGTTGAACCCCTCAAAATGAGAAACCAAATGTCCACACTTCAAAGAACAAATATCCCTCCCCCTTTAAAAATAAACAATTCCCCGCCCGCATGGGCTGCTTCGCATAAACCAATTAAATACCTGGGCGTCTTCCTGGGTACTCGTCTAACGCAGAAATCTCACGTTATTCACAAGCTAAATAAACCTTCGGAAGCCCTACCCAAATTGCATCCCCTACTGAAGAGAAAATCATCTCTAAAATAGAAAATTGTCACCTCTATAAATCAGTCCTAAGAACCGTCAGCCGATCCGGTGGCCGAGATCGCTAAGGTAGTAGTGCCGTAGCAAGCTCGAACCGAAGGATCACGGTTTCGAGTCCCACCTGGTGGCATGGTTGTCTTGTGTTCGTCCTTTCACCCCCCTATTATCATCATCATTTCGGGGAAGGCAACGGGAAACCACCCTGAATAATTCATCATCCCAAGAAAATCCACTATGGGTCACCTAACTGCCGTATATGGTAGACAGGAAGAAACAAGAAAAGAAAAAAAAGAACCGTCAATAACTTCCGTTGCCCCAATTTGTGGAAGTGCCAGCTCGTTCCGTTCTGAAACCTTTGCAAACCTTCCAAAATGAAGTACTACGTACGATTCCCATTAGCCGTTAAACAACTTTCCAGAGAACTGGATGTTGAACCAATAACCAATTATACTTCCTTCCTGTCGTCGACATTCATTACTAACCTCCAAACTGTCCCTTGCACCAGCCACTTGATCCTCAGCAAAATTAGCTTTGCTTCCACAAGAATGAAATCCCATCTCCCAATAGATCTGTTCTGTTTTGAGGCGCATGTAGTGTCCGTGCCTGGACACTGGCCTCACCACAAACAAACGCGAGAGAAAATATGTGTTGAATAACATTGTATTTATGCAAATATATTGCAACACTATTTTTATGTCAGCAACGATTTCGACATTAGTTGCGACATTATTATCGAGAGATTGACGTCAGATGCGAATATTGGAAGTTGAAAAGTTGCGTAAAAATTGAAGATAACGTATGAATGATGAGCAATTTCTCTATACTATTGTTTTGATAATTTGGATTCTTTTAGCGATAAAAGTTCATAATACTTACTAGTGACTACGTACTACTTACGTATTATTTAAAATTCCAAAGCCGCTGCCCGCACCACCCGACGGGCAGATGTATTTTCCACACGAAAGCATTACCTTTTTATATCCATTTTTTTCAGCAAAGATAATTTTTTCGATTTATGACCAATTTAATACATCATTGAATCGTGTTCTCAATATCTTCAGGAGTGTATTTTTAATGAAAGAAATTATATATCTTCATTTTGCTGTAACATAAAGAGTGTATGGACACTTAGTTAAATCCGTTTATTTTCAGGTTGCCTCAAGATATGGGACAAGGAGCTTTGAGTGGTTTCAACACACTACTCGTACTGTCTGGAGTTACATCTCGTGAAGAAGCAGAAAACGCCGCGCCGGAACTGCGGCCGCAGTTTATCGCCCCCTCTCTCAAATCATTGGTTCCTGCACTACGTCGCGTTTCTCTAGCTCCTGGTCTGCAAAGTAATAAGTAGGTTGTTCATTGAAATCGTCATTATTGGGGTAAAGTTGGCATTTCTTCGTTCTCATCCTCATGGTATGTTAAAACTTTTAATGAAAATGTGAACACTTTCTGGTCGATTTGTAAAATTAACAAATGTCATAGAGTTCTTGAATTTTTGGGAGATACTTTGGGAATTTTAGATATTTTCATTTTATTTTTCCATGTGTATTAACATGTCTCACCTATAAGCATAATTGCCCTTGAAGCATATAAGTAATAATTTTTCAATCATATTTTTCTAATAAAAAAGTGTTGCAAGATGAGAATTGAACGCTGTATCTGTGTACAACTAACGGCGATTTTAGTTTCAACTTCCAACTGACCCAACTTCCACAACACATTTATATGCCTCACCCCACTTTCCCGGAGTGCACCACTCACATCATGTCCTACTCACCCATTGCTTCTCTGCATTCTGCAATGTCTTGAGCAGTGTCGATTTTTGCAAAATGTGCTCAAAAATATATTTTTGATTATCCAACCCTTTTTTTTATTCCTTCATGTTATTAATTTAGGAAAATTCTATTCTATTAGTGGTATATATACATCACAAGAGAAGTCACAATACTTTAGATTTGATGATTCAAGTTTCAGTAGTTTTGGCTCTCCATTGCTTAGCTAGTCAGTTTCTTCTTTATATTATTTAAGATTATCTATATAGTCATTTTACTGCCAAAAATCCGAGAAGTATTTTTAATAACTTCAAGTGCTGAGTGGAAGATATCAGTATTGTGTAACTTCCCTGAAGATTTGTGCTCATCATTTTATTACATTTTAAATGTAATGAGAATGAATTATCATAATTTAATTAAGTCTAATTAAATCATTTCTTCCAAAATTATTTCAAGAAAGTTTTCTTTTTCTAATGCATTATTCAAAATAGAATGAGACCATTGCTCTGTCTTGTATGAGGTTATATCTTTGAACAAACTAAATCAGTAAAGATACACTAAATTAGCATTTAATAATAACAAATATTTGATAATTATAATGAAGGGGGTGCTCTTATTCAAACACTTCGGTGATCTGTATTCGTTAGTTTCATTACAAAAACAGCACGAACAGAAACCTCAATATGTACAATACTTCTTTTCTGAAAACATATTTTCTAATAAACGACATGAAATTGTTTAATATATATTTGATCAGTTGCTATTGTAGTTCTCCTCTATTCATGTTTTTAATTTTTTGATGTTAAAAAATAAATAAAATAATGTAATTAACAAGATACTTGGCTCTTGCTTACCCATCACAAAGACTACAAAATATCAATCTTTCTCCAACTCTGTGGATTAAAACCTGTTGCAAGCTTCTATATCCCAATATGAAATCTCGTTGAAGGGAATATAATGCGAAGAGTGGTGTGAAGGGCCTTTGTCGATTTAAACCTTAATAAATGACTGAAGGCTATGGACACATCATATACAGCATCAATATTGAGAAGATATTACCTGATTCATTTGTAGACTACTTTTCTTAAAAACATTTTAACATCATGTGATTTAACTGTTAAAAAGTTTAAAATAACTTCTGTAATTTTTGTGTGTGTGTGTGTGTGTGTGTGTGTAGATAGAGAGATAGAGAGATAGAGAGATAGAGAGATAGAAAGAAAGAAGAAGCAGAGATTATACCTATCTGCTGGTTGTGGGCGGAGCATGACTTTCATTTGTTTTGTGATGGTATCCCGTCCTATTCCCTCGTTCCCGACTGCTTTACTGCTAACAGTTTGTGGTTGGGCTGAAGAGAAGGCTTAAAGGACTGAACTTCGTCGTTAATAAAGACAATTTATTATTATTATTATTATTATTATTATTATTATTATTATTATTATTATTATTATTATCATTATCATCATCATCATCATCATCATCATCATCATCAACCCAATAATCCTGCGATGAGGTATACAGGCTCGTAAGAATGAGTGAATTTGTAAAGTGGGACTGAACAGTGATGGTTCGTTCTTAGGTTGCACGATTGCACATCCCCTAAATAATCGAAAGACTATCTTATAATATTTTAGGACTACACATTTTCCTTTTAATGAGATTTAATACTAAAGATTTTGCAGGAATATCGATGTGTGTCAAATCACTTTGAAATCAAATATCTCCCAACAAGCTCTCTCTCCAGCGTGTGGTGCTGTTCCAGGCAGTGCACCATGTCACATTCTTGGCCCTATTACTGCATTTACTGCGGGCAGACTTTGGCCTAAGCTTCAATATCGTGCTTTTGGTGCTGCAACCAGTCACCAGCTTACAACATTGTAGCGTGGTGCATGGAAGGTGGTCTATTCCACGTGTGTGTGGGGTGAGGGGAGTTTTCTGTCTTCGTCTGACATTAACTGAAACTTAATTTTATAAATTTCGCGTGTTATTGAAAGTGCACAAGTTCAGTAAATTATTGACTATTGAATGCATTATTTATGACTTTTGGATAATTTATTTTCATTTAATGCTCGGTTTGTAGATTTAAATGTACATTTAATGAGACCTTAGCGTACAGTTTGCACTTCTGGATGGAAGCCCCTTTCTGTCTGTCACAGTGTGTAAATCTTTCCGGCAGCAGTGACAGTGCGAACGTTGTGAATACATATGTATGGATCATCTTTCATTATAACAATATGTTCCAGGGTAATGAAACTTTAAAAAGAAAATAATTTAATGTTATAAAACGTATTCAAACAATGGTGCAGTTCTAGAGCTGGCGATCACCGTATTTTCGAAACCAAGTTTGTTTTTTTTTTTTTGTATAAATTATATTACCGTCAATTGTCGCAAGGTGTAAGTAATGCAAAAAATAGAGTACTCACAAGAAATAAAAGCCAGAACCATGTGCACGGAAGGTAAATATACCTGACACGAAAACCACAGTGTAAGAAATATATCTTATACTTTCGTATATTTAACACCGCGGTCGGAACCTAAAGGAGGATCGTGCGCCATTAAGCTATTAAAAATGTATTTGAATTTAAATAAGTCATACGATGTTTGTAAAAAAATAATTTAAGCCTTTTTACTTTCTTCCAACGAAGTAGAGAGAAAGTTATGTAATGCTGCGCGAAGAAACAGCGAATTTCCGACAGAAAAATCTTTTCTTACTATTGACGGCTGTCTGTCCGTCTGTCTGTGAACATCGCTAGCAGCTAAATCGTTCAGCCAATTTTCTCCAAAATAGATATTCCTCTGTCTATCGATCTGGCTGATATCGCGGCCCCTTGAACTTGAAACTGATATTTTAATTTTGGTGGGGGTACGTACTTTACATGCAGCCCTGGGACATTTTCCAAATATTAAAAAAAGTAGCTTCATAGTTTTTTATTAAGTTTCGTTGCCGGACAGTGTGAAGGGTGTTTAAGAGAGTGGTGCAGATCTAATGTTCGTTGAAAACCCTGAGTTTTCAAAAATTGCAAAAGTTTAAATCTTCCTTCAACATCAATTATGAAGATACATAATTTTTCTGAAATGAAATCTATTGCTTGAAGATGGATTTTAAAATAAGGTCATGAACATTTTTTCGAAAATTAGAGTACTTTTTGCGTAACTTTACGTGAAAGTGGAGTAAGAAAATATATGATGTTTTAGCACCATTATATCTGTAGTCTAAAAGATATATCAAAAGGGGAAAACATAAATAAAAGCATTTCCAGACAAAACTAATGAATCTAATTGTTTTTTCTTACTAGAGATAACAGCGAGTCTTTTTAAGTAGTAACTCTAAGTCGTTATTTCCAAAGGGAATATTTCAAAGTGAGCTTGACGCTTTGTTCGTTGTAACAAGTAATTAAGTGTTATATTCCGTCCATATTTGACCTCAAGACAATACAACAACTACAGACATTGCCTATTGGAATAGAAAATCAAAGATTGACAAATGTTTGATGTTATGGAGACTGCCGACTTGAGAAGACGGACGAAAATCAACAAGCAAAAAAGAAATATTCGGTCTTGAGTAAGAACGTAAAGTGCAGTAGAGCACTAATCATAGTAGCGTAGTTAAGTAGAGAATTTGAAGTAAGAGATGCAATGTATTGATAGTGTGTATTGACTGAGGGCAGTACAACAAAAAATTAAATGGTCTAAAATATTTGGGAGAGTGGATACACTGAATTGTATGTATGGAATTGGACCTTATGGAAAGACCATTGGCGTTATTGGAAAGGTGAAGAAGTCTTACATAGGTATCATTTTATTAAATTGAGAAATCACCTAGATGTTTCATTATTATTTCAGTTTACAAAAAAACAATATTATGTAAAGATTTTTTTGTTATGAATAAATGTTCTCTTTTATTTTAATTTAAATCAATATTTTCAGTAAGTGACCGATTCAAATTATGGTGTGTGCCGTAGTCATCGGCTGTCAACAAATATTAATCGAATATTTTTATTTCCCCCATTGAGTAAATTCAGCCGACCTGAATGGCTAAGGTCGTGTACCGACTCAGCGTTTCGGCCCGAAGGTCGCGGGTTCCAGTCCCGCCTTGGGCACGGAGGTTTGTCCCTTGTATCATGTATGTGTTGTGGCGGGGAATGCCTAACGTTCTGCTGACCCCAGATCAGAGGAGCCCGCTGGTGTGATGGTGTCTTGTGTGTGGTTGACTATGCGCCTCGTCGGGGCGTAAAGGGTAACAGGCTGCCGGCTGGTCGATCCTAGTAAAAAAAGTAAATGTATATTATTTATTAATGGAAAAGGTAAAAACTATCTCAATATATATTTCGAAAAGTGAGGTATGAGAGATGTAAGAATTGTACTAAACATTTAACGCAATTTTTCACTTTTAATGAACATTGTTGTCATTGACCACCAAATTGTTTCAAATTTGGTGCCTCGTTACGAATAAAGCACTTTTGATGTACATTGATGGGGTATCAGAGGAAAGGATCATACATTTCAAACCTCGCGCTAAAGAGATTAGAGTCTAATTATACTAAAAAAAGCCGCGCGAATTTCTTCCTGTTTGCCCGAATACGCACTTATTTCCTCTTTCTTATAAGTTCCTTGACGGAGCTTGTTAACTCAACTGTTAGTTCGGAGCGTCACCGAAAGATCGCATCGGCTCTTGAACAGCCCAGCGTAAAATATACCATTGTCAAATTTCTGGTAACCCTGCGATTTTCACTTCAAACGTCACGATGCGTCACCAGCTTGCATTGTCATCAGCGGCACTGGAAGGATAACGTGAAGTAAAAATGACGAATTCGTAAAGAAACGTTTGATTTCGTCTGGAGAGAGGTAACCGTGACAATCTCTTCAATACCAGTTGATTCTTTCTCCAAAGTAACAATCTTTGTCAATCGTGTGCCGTTTCTTTTCCAGAACACTCTTGTTTGATGAAAAACTATCGATAGAAGAGGCGATGTTTCGATGCAGCTTCTGTTAATTGCTCTCCCAACCCCTCTTACGAGTATTTCGCAACCTTGTCAAACATTTTGTTTAATTTGTTTTACTGCGTGGAAATTTGGTTTTTGTTATAGTTAAAATGTTTAAATAAACAATAAATAATTAATTACAAGAGAAAGCTATTTCCTATATAACGATTCAGTCAATGGCAACAACCTTTTCCATCACTGAATGTATAAATGTAAATTATGGTAGATTTCTTATGTGTATAAATTAATTATCTACTACCATTTACAATAATCTTGTTTGCCTTGTTGATTAGAGAGTTTTTCATAGTATGTGTATTGTATGCTTTTATTTCAGCTTGTTTCCTGTGAACTCACTGATAAAGTATATTAAGAGGTTTTGCCAATTTGGATTAAAGAACGAAATTTATACGAAGTAGTATGCGATTTTTTTTAGAATTATACATGCTGATTCTCGCCTTTATCGGCACTTAACTGTGTCTTTATTTTTCTACTAGACAGATGAATCCTCTGGTCGCATGTACATTAGACTAAACAAATTACGTGATATCGGGCAATCGCTTGGAGATCACATGCCAAGCATTCATTCGTGCTTGAGTCATCGAGACCAGGGATTTTTCGTGAGTAATTAAAAAGCCAAGAGGTGACAATGTGCCCTGTTGCTGTAATTTGAGAGTTTGCATAAATATGTACTTATCTCTCAGGACATTAGACTGAATACATGTGATAACGAGTCGTGCCAATATGCCTCGCAGAGACCGTGTAACCTGATAACAACAGTGCCTTCCATAACGAGCAGTGACGCTTGGTTCTTGTTGAAAGGTGCAACATTGGAAAAGAGTGACATCCTACAATGAGTATTCCAGATATCAGCAAATTTAACGACGACGAATTGGTAAACTTTCTGAACTCCTTCGACACCATTCTGACGGATTGTGACGGTGAGAGTTCTGATATATTGTACTATGTATGCATTTTTGTGCCTGTCGAAATACAAAACTTTGTCGGCCTCTTTTCGAAAAATTAGTGTAGCTACATAAATAGGGATTAAAAATCAAAATTAAGTACGGTTTTAGCTTGTGTTATGATACAATTAAAAGCTAGGCGGGGAAGTAAAAGGTGTATTTAAAAATATCTAAAATCTGTCAAATGATTTCATGCATCGATCCCTCAAAAATATAGAGTGAGTGGAGTAATCAAAACTAGCCAATTTTCGAATGTTTAGGATAATGAACGATGTAAAAATATTTTCAAGAGCATGCCTAATGTGACATTGCATGATTGTTTGATATTATTTCGTTCATTTAATATGAGTGGAAAGAGGAAAGTAATCGAAAAATATAATTTAATTATTTTATGCATGATCCCCGATATGTTTATCTTGATCGTCTTATGGTAAATAAGCAACAAGTTTTGTTGGGAGTGGAGGTGCTGACTTTGGCCTGGGGTATCACACGTCGTACCTCGGTGTAAACCGCGAGTTGGGCAGAGGACACAAGAAAATAGCGTACGGGGAATTGCACGGTGAATCAGTTTTCAATTCCAAAATTCAGAAATCGAGCTTCGTGTCCAAATTTTTATAACTATCAGTTAGACCAAATCACTTATACATTTACTGGTTCTTATTTCACGATAAATAAATGAATCCCTTTCCAAATAAATTAGCATCACATTGGTCATGTATAAATACGGGTTCGGTTTTGTTTTTATTGCAGTTCTCGTGCGCGAATGGATAATACTGGATTACCAAAACAAAATGCACGTTAAAAATCAATTTTAAACGAAAGAAATATTTTATTCACACGATAATATATCCCATACCCAACCAATAAGTCATTTCTACCTCTGCTTGATATAAACAAGAAGATAAGGTATGAGGGTTACAATTAAATGGCTCAATAAAACAAGGGAGCTATTTCACATTGACCTTGTTACGACTTATTGAAAGATTTATTAGAACTTTCGTAATATTACTCATTACACTTTTAAATAGTACATTTGCTTGTAATTGTAGACTGTATTTAAACAAAATATATTTACTAATACTAGTAATACATATTACACTAAAATAATAGTATTTGAATGTTAATCTAATGCTAATAACTCAATTTAACACAAAATTTTTCCTTTCTCGCCCTTCTGAATGTTAAAGCATTGTAAATCGTGCACCGGAAAACGGAACATTCGATAGAAAAACTCTTACTGTTGCTCTCTGAAAACGAAAAAGTGAGTAAATCATGTTCCTATATATAATGAATTATTTCCTTTAACTCGTGGTGTAGCCAGAATTCATGTTTTGTAAGTCCTTGATACCGAAAAACGATTGAATGCAAAACCCGTGCTTTGGAATTTACTAAACAAATTACCCTCGAAGATCCTTTCTCTTAGGTGTACGGTGACTTTTAAACAACTCGAGATACTTACGAGAGTTTTGACTAAGATGGCATTGACTTACACAGATCTTTCAGAAAGAGAAACGTCAGTGGTATTATCTTTCATTCATTTTATTCCACTGTATCTCCTAGTTGATCGTTCTTCCTGATTTTCTGCATGTGTTTGTTGGTTCTTGTTGTCAGGTGTCATCTGGACCTTTGGCACCCCTTACGAGGGGGCGTCCGATGCCATCGCTGCCTTCGAAGCACTGGGGAAGCGCGTCTTCTATGTCACGAACAACGGAATCAGGTACTATTGGCCAAAAAGCGAGATGGGATTGAAACCTTTGGCTACGGCGTGTGAGACCAAATGGAAGTTATGTGGTCATGTGATTTCTGCCAAACAGTCAAACTGACCATAGTCTATGAAAGACGTCCGTACGTCGAGAAGTTTTCGTGAAGAAACGTCGTTCTTGTGCAACGATTATGAACCAATTAGAATGAACGTTTGATCACCAATGTGGCACATGCATGTGTTTGAATGTAGTATATTATAATATTGTGTGCACGTATACATATTATTGGAGTTCGTATTTTGATTACTCTTAGTTATAATGTTTGCTTTAAATATCTACATGATACGCCGCAATATATTCAAATGTTTACGCATTTATCGAAACGCACGGAAAAAACATATGTTCATTCCGTACTATTAAGAGGAAAATATGAAATAATAAACTGTAAAATATTGGTGACACACTATAAATTTGGTGAAAGAAAACTTCGACACAAAATTCTCATCGCTTTAAATAACTATTTCGTTTGAGTTGCTTCTTCTCATATCGCTCAAGTGTATGTGCACAATGTCCATATACTTCTACTTGTACTTCTAATGTATTTATTTAAGCTTGCAGTTGCCTTTGAAGATTTTTGCAAATTTATGTTAATGATATTTTGTTGCTAGGACCTTGGATAGCTATGTGAAAACCATGACTGCATTAGGATACAACGTCACAGAGGTAAGAATGAATAATTTCACACAAACACGCCAACTTAATCACAGGAGTTGGCATGAGCAGGATGAGGAGGGGGTAACGACTTTCCTTGGCCCCTTTTCCATTAACACTTGTTTACATATGTCATAGTTTTAAGTAAATCGCCGTTGGTGATAGACAACCTCTTATGTGCAAAAAATTACAACAGGAAGGAAAAACACATTTTGAGGGTAATAATGTTCAGTTGGTTAAGTTTGTATTGTATTAAGCATTGTACAGTTTCTATACAATAGTATTAAAGGTCACATAGATTTTTTTTATTTTCTAGTTTTCTTTGGAAATTTTCTTATCAAATTAAAGAACAAGCAAATTCTGAATCATTTGTACCGAAATGTAAAAATTACCAATTCCGCCACATAGAAGGTTGCCCATAATCATCGAGGTAATATTAATTAAAACATAATCCAAGGAGAATGGAATAATACATTTAAGGAACAATAAACAAGTATAATTGACTTAATGTTGAATCATTTCCAGTGATCAGAGTTTGGAGAGCTTTTTCTCAAATAACCTAAATTTTCAGTTTAAGAAAGGGCATTTTCCAACAGGATAGGCCAAATTCCATCAGGAAACGTGCACATTTACGGAATAAAATGTTTTATTGCGTAGGTCTAATCTGTCCCTTTCGGAAATTTCAGAGAGTACACGACTTCACTCCCTGCTCTGTGCACGCCAATGATTGCAAAAGTCTAAGAGAAGCGGTTTTATTCAGAGACATCCTACATGTAGGCAAATTACGTAGTCTGAAATGATTTTTCACACTATTTTAGTAGTTCAGTCAACTGATGCTCAAAAAGACCCGAACCAGGAAAAAAAATCGAAAGTTCCTGTTTTCGTTTCTTCTACGGTAGTTTTGGGGGCGCTGAATTCCAATTTTGTTTTTGCCACCTAGAGAAATGTCTCGAGTACTATTAACTTTTCTGCGAAAGTGAGCTCCAAATTGCGCTTTTTTTAGAAAGAATTCTACTATTGAGGAATGAAAAATTGAGAAAATATGAAAGAATGTCGTTTTGGTGCGGATGAGCAGCTGAGGCGACGGCGGGGCAATATTGAAAAACTAGCTTAGACTAAAGTCATTAGAAACCTAACTAGTGCGAGTACTATGCCACTCTGTAGCACCACTAGTTATCAAAATGTCCGCCCGTGAGTGTGTCTTACCGTCCGTCTATGTACAACACTAACAGCTAAAGTATTCGGAGGCTCTTTTCCAAAATTAATTTTCGTCTGTCCATCTAGAAATCCAGTCCATCTAGATTTTCCTCTGTCCATCCCAACTCGAAACTCTGCAACTTGAAAAACATTGTCCTCATTTTAGCCTCCAGCATTTGTCCACGGTAAGATGTGTATCGCATTGGAACAGCCTGTAGACCACGTGTGCGCAGTCGCAGGTGGTGAACCCGGCGGTGACGGTGGAGCACATGCTGCGCACCAGGGGCGTGGACTCCAAGGTGCACGTGGTCGCGTCGGAGGCCTTTCGCAGCCACATGAGTGCTCGACGGTGTGGAATACCCTCTAGCTTTGAAATGTCGTAATTTTGCCCAAGCTCTTAGGAGATCCTCCAGCATTTGTCCACAGTAAGATGTGTATCGCATTGGAACAGCCTGTAGCCCACGTGTGCGCAGTCGCAGGTGGTGAACCCAGCGGTGACGGTGGAGCACATGCTGCGCACCAGGGGCGTGGACTCCAAGGTGCATGTGGTCGCGTCGGAGGCCTTTCGCAGCTACATGAAGGCGGCCGGTGTGCGATTGACAGAGGTGGGAATTCAGTTTAACTCTTTTATTTATATTTTATGATACTCTTACATTTATATTAGCTGGTTTGAATTTCTATTCTAACACAGTAATATGTGTTGGTAACTACGATCACCTTCAAATTGCATCAGGTGCAGTCTCTGCTTGAACACAGGATTTACTCTCTCTTTGGTCCAACGTAAAATTAAATTTCTCTGGCAATTGAAATGCGAGGCGAATATTTCTTCCGATAAAATAGTTGTCAAATAATTTTAATTTAAGAAATATCGTACTTTCGGTCTATTGTTATAAATATCACATATACGTTGATACGAAGTATATACGAAGTCTGGAAATGGGTAGTAGAGGGAAAAATAGTATGGTGCGGAAAATCGATGTTGAGATTTAAACGGAAATAGACGTTTAGAGGTTTCTTGAAAAAAGTGTTGTTTTTCAAAACGTAATTACATCTATCCGTCTTTCTCTTCGTTCGTCTGTCAGTCCGTTCTTCTGTCCAACTCTCTTTCTGTCTGTGAACAACCCTAGTACCTAAAAACTATTCATAGGATGTTTTCAAAGTGAATATTACCCAGTCGTTCTCGCTCAACTGAAAGACCTGCTATTTTGAAAACATTTCTTTAAATTTTGGCGATTCTTTTGATGAAGCCCTAGGAACATTTTCAAAATTTTCTCAAAAATGACTCCATTTTTTTCTTTGAATTTCTTGTAAGGAAAGAGTGAAATACACTTATAAAGTTGGCATTTTTTCGACGACTTCCTACAACAACAGTATTGGTACTACGGAAGTGGAGATTATCCTCATTTTATTTACTGTTTCGATTTCTTCAGAATTGCACAAACGCATTTTTAAATATATATATCACGTCCGTAAAATGTATATTACAGACGATTTTTCATGCATTATTGCATTTGTGAGTGGTTCTTCAAATCCTTTCTAATGAAGGTTCTTGAACACTCGAAACTTTACTGTGAAAATTAGCTTTATGTTGCGCATTTTCACAAACGCTCAAATGGCGTTTTCTCCCGAACGACTTCGAATTTTTCAATGAAAATTGGTGGCCATAGATATCACCTGGTAAAAGGGTGGAACAAAATCGCAAATCTATCCCAGTCTAAAGACATTAGAAAACTAACTTGTACGAGAAAGTAAATAACGACGTGAGAGGTGCTGAGAATACGGAAAGGAGAAAATACTACAACGATATATTCATGTGTTGAAAAAAGAGTATATGAAAGAAAAAAACAAACGAGTACTATCTTATTTTAAGTGCAGGATATTAAAAGTTAATTGTTAGTAGGGTGATGTCTTCAACATTAAAATATTGCTTGGTTGTGATTAATACGACAAGAAAGTATGTGCTGTTGAAATCACTAATTTAAAGTTGGTCTCTTAGTTGATAGAAGATAGATATGTGGAGTAGTCTCTCAATGTACTGTCTATGTAGCATCATGGCTAATATAGTTTTGTAAGAGGTCTGAAATAGAAGTAGTTTCTAAGATACAATGTTGCATAACAATTACAGATATTACGAGAATGTTCGTACCATTTTGTAGCACCACAAATCCGCATGTGTCTCTAGGGCGCTTGACTAGCATTTTCTCTGTAATTGTCTTTTTCCCTGAAGAGGAAAGGCATTGCAATTACAAGATACAGTCGTAATTACTCCTGAAATAACCGTCACGAACTGCTTAGTATGCTTTGAGGTGGACGGGAGGCGTGTTGACAGAGTAGGCACGTTTACACAGTTGCGTTTCTGTTATCTACAGATAGCAAAGATAAGGATATTACACAAGTCACTAATTTACTTAGCTCGAAGATCCTGTGTTGTGGAATTTGAGCACAGACAGAACATGTGTTCGAGTTGTACACAGTGGATCTGCACCACCATAGGTTTCCTCGTGAGGAAGGGAAGGTGTAGACTTTCTTTCTATTACACACACACACACACACACAAATATATATATATATATATATATATATATATATATATATATATATTACTACTTAGTGGCGTGGCGTAAGTTCAAATGCCCATATCCGTCTTTCTTTTCGTGGCATAATGGAGCTGCCGAGGTACACCATAGGGGCACCTCTGCTAATCTAGCCGATATCGGTTGGAGGTACCTGTCTGGAGGGGAAAGACCCAGTGTTACAGAGTGATGAATCTGTTCAATAAGGCTACAACAAAAATAGAATGAGGCACCGTCCGAGTGCAGCGGATCCATGCCTCTCACATACGCTCCTGCTCTTGTCGGTGGACCAGGAATGAAATGATTCTTCGGGAAAGATGATAGATGGAAGATGGGGAAACCAATCTTTGAGGTAAATAACCATGCCCACGTGGAACCAAAGCCCGTGACTCCCCGAGCCATCTCGCTACTGCACACGTGTCTTCGTGGCCTCGACCTCCGGGCCGGCGTGCAGCGTTCACTGAGTTTGCACTGTGTAATTCAATGTTACATGTAACTCTGAAATTTCAAGGGGTGTAAAAGTATTTGGCGCTACATATCATAACTATTGCACTGTGAAATTCACTGATACAGAGCGAACTCGTATTTTATTAGACATGCGTAACTTAGTAGGGGAGTGTAGAATATATTAATATATAATGTTAAAAACGAGTTTAAACTTTTGAACTTCCATCGAATAAGTACAAAGAAATATAAATGTGTATAAAAAGAATTGCATAATGAAGAATAACCCGAAAGAGGCCTTGTGTCCGTTCCACAAAATAATCTTCTAACATTTCTCGGAGGCGCCGCATCAGCCCCGTGACTTGCACTGGGCAGCGCCATCCAGACACAGCTTCCTGGGGTCAGCGTTTCCACCCGGAGGCCTCAATAGTTTGGCTCAAGTAATTGTTTTGCATGAGCCTTGTGGAGCGTTTATTATTTTTTACGGACGAGTTAACTTATTTTTGACATGTAAAGTGTTGAAATGTCAGCGTCAGATTGAGATGTCCCTCTGTATGTGAGATTATTTGCGTTGAGTTTGATTGGGAGATATCTCGCTAGGTTTTTAGAATATGTAATAATAATATTAATAATAATAATAATAATAATAATAATAATAATAGTAATAACATTTATAATAGAATTCCACTCAAACTCGGAGTTATATTTCGAGAATTCTCGAGTTTATTTTCTGCATCAACCCCCCAGTTTAAATGCATTTTTGTCCTTTTTTTGTCCACATTTAAATGTTTGACTGGTGATAATCGCTCGTGCATGGAGTGTGATTTCCCGTGTTCGTGGTTTCCTTATTAATTTACTTCCGCCGCCGATGACCTCCCGCGGGTACACACCCGACCGGCGTTCCTTGTGGAGCGCTCGGAATCCGCTGTTCCGCAGCCCAAGGAGCCGAGCGCCCTGACGCTGGAGGCGGTGAACCGGCACGTGCGCGAGCTGGACGCCGATGTCAGCGCCGTCGTCGTCGACTTCTCCCTGGGCCTCAACTACGTGCAGCTGATGGAGGTGTCGCAGCTGCTCCAGCGGCCGGACTGCGCCTTCGTTGTCGGAGTCACCGACCACAACGTGCCCGTGGACTGCAACGTCACCTTCTTAGGTCAGTTCCTATGGCTCCGGGCTTGAATCGATGTTAGTGCGGTGCCGCTGACAGGAAGGTCCTATGGCTCGAGTCCCTGCGGTTGCAGCCACCAGCCGCATAGCTACGTTGAATTCAACCGCTGACAGGGAGAGAATTCTAGCACCCGTAGCTTCCTGTGGTTTCTCCGATCAACACCGGGCGAATGCTGGAGCAGTACTCCCAACGAAGGAGCCACGGTGTGCGCGCGATCTTCCCTGCCTCTTCCTTGTCCTTTCCTCACCCCTTACTTACTTACACACACTTACTTGCGCACACGTGCCAGAAGACCGGCTAAGACAGGTAGAGTTTCTCCTGGCTGGGGCGGTGCGTCAGGGTGGGAGATATCTGGATGGGGAAAGGCCGACGTACGTCGGCGCCGGATTGCGCCATCCAGCGGGTGACCTTCCGCAATGGCAACATGCACAACACTCACGGTGTTAATGACGTTAGTAGTTGACGCGCCCGGAATCACTAATCTATCAATCCAATGTGTCACGATCCCCGGTAGTTAAATAATGGCCTAACAAGACTTAAAATATGTATGCAAACATGTGGTATCATATGTAGGGTAAAACAATAATTAGTTATAAAACAATTTCTCAGGAGAAACAAGTGGGTTCATCCTTACAATTGCTATCAGTACATGACGATACTGACTAGCAATAATAATTTATCCATCACCCGAGAAAGAGCCAAACACGCACGAAAAGCGCAAAATTGAATGAAACGCACTATCACATTTTAATGTTAATTATTTTCTGTTTTGGTTACCGTTTGTATCAGCGAACAATTACTTTTTTTCAATTATTTTCTGTTACATTCATTCGTCTAAAAATAATTGTTAAAGACCGTAATGTGATCAAAGTTGAGGTCAATGTCTGCGTTTTCTATTGGCTTCAAATTCTCTTGTACTTCTTGGGTGATTTTCGGCAATGGCATGGGGATTTCCCATTGATTGATTGATTATTGATTCAGGGCGCGTCAACTGCCAAGGTTATTAGTCCCGTAAGTGTAGTGCATGGTTTTCCCCTCGGGAGGTGGCAGTGATTTGGCGAGATCCGGCGCAGACCCACGTCGGCTTGCGGGGATTATCCTCAACCAGGTATCTCCCATCTGCGTGGCAACGCCGCAGCCGGGACGAGCTCTTAGCTCCAGACTGACATGTGGCAGGCATGTGAATGTAACTGTATGTAAATAGGAGCTGAGGAAGAGGAAGCAAAAAGTCCCCAGGAGAAAAAAAGAAAAAAAATGCATCCTAGTTCAATTCCTTCCAAAGTTTCGGTAATGTTCAAATGTGAAACAACTATAAAATAAGCTACTAGAAGATAAAATCAATGTCAGATTGTAAAAAACTGCAATTTATGCGCAATTTTTTTAAAAGTTCAATCACACATTATGCATAAAGTTCTCGAAAAAACCAACAGAGCACGCACGGGAAGATATACATTTTTAAAATTAAAAAGCCAAAAAATATATTTTTTACAAAGTTTGAGAGGTGTCATGAGCTTACATAAAAACATGCATTTACACAAATATCCTGTCTACTTGCAATAGATATTCCGTATTGTGAGTAATAAAGAGAAGCGTTCTCCAGGATACCCAAAAACATACTAGAAATGCTTAAGCATTGCCAAAGAAATATAACAATTCCCCGAAACGTTTTGAAGCAAATTTGTTTGGAATATGTTTGGAAAAAAATACCTGAGATTCACAAATTTTTCAGACCGAAGCTCTTCTTATCTCCCCTCATTTTATAAAAACACGTCTGTTTCGGGAATAAAACACTCACTTTAAAATATTTATTTCGTAATAATGGTTATATTTCCGTTCAGAACGAGCGGCAAGAAAGGCAAAACCTAAGAATATCTTACGCATACTCGCTTTCGTAATAACCGTTGTAGTCAAGGGCCTACTTGATGTTTTTAAAAAAAGTTTTTAAGTATTTACGTTGAATAAAAAAATTCTTATTTATAGACTTACAATTTATATTTATAACGTAAACAGTTGACAAATTAAATGACTTCCGTCAATGTAGAAAATTAGTAAAAGCTATAAATTTTAATGTTTCATTGGCTTCTGGGAAAGGGGTCTGGAGCCTCACGAGCCTCACCTTGGAAAAGCAACTGGCACATGGACCGTCGGGATTTCAACCCCGGTATTCAGAGGTGGACGGTGAATGGAAAAAAATGAAGGAGGGTGGCAGTTGTGGATGATTGGTACCCGTCGGTTTGCAGGGCCCGGTTACATCGTGGACATGCTGTCGCTGTTCACCCGTCGCCAGCCGCTCATAGCGGCGAAGCCCAGCCGCGCCGTGCACGAGGTTGTGGCGGCGCGCTGCCCGCAGATGGACCCCAAGCGCACGCTCTTCATCGGGGACTCGTAAGTGCAACTGCCCAACATGCAGCTCAATCAATTAGTCCCTGCCTGTCTGAACTTCTTATTATGTTACCCCAAGTGCACGCTCTTCATCGGCGACTCGTACGTGCTCCTGCTCCAACAAGTAGCTCAATCAATTAGGCGCTGCCTGTCTGAACTTTTTATCATGTTACCCCAAGTGCACACTCTTCATCGGAGATTCATCCGTGCAACTCCACGAGAGACGCATCTACTGCTCCAAAAAATAGCTCAATAATTTAATCTCTGTGTGACTGAACATTTTTTATTACGAGAATTTTCACATATTGTATTTAATGCATTGAATCGAATTTACTACAGATTTCACTGTCCGTAAATGTGATCGCAAGGAAGGGCATATATTCAGCTGTGTAGCTCGAGGGTTTGTTAGATCCGCGCGCTTAAAATACATTCCATAAGTCACGACAACATATTGTAACCTTTCTCGGTGATGAATTAAAATCCACCCACACAGGTATTTAAACAAAAACGTTTATTTGTAACAATGATGCACTAAAAGCTACTTGATTTATTTAAACATATATTGCACAGTCTGTGTTCTTCACTTGATTACTTTCCTTACACACGACTCCATTCTCTTGATTAATTATTTACACAGTTTACTTCTGATTATTATTTACACTGTTCTCTACACTATCGCACAGTCCTATGCACTGTCCACGGTCCACTGCGCTGACCACAATTCACTGCGAAGACCACAATTCCCTGCGCAGACCACACTTCAGTGCACTGCTGTTTACCGCGATGCACACTTCACAGCTCAACTTCCACTGCAGATTCAGACTGCTGACTGCTGTTTACCCACTGCACCACTGTTCATCGCAATGCACACTTTACAGCATAACTTTCACTTCACACACACTGGCAGACTGCTTATTCACTGATTACATACACTAACTGCTTCGCGGCTGCTTACTTCCGACGACTACTTACACTGACTAACTTATACTAACTCGCGACCGCCGGAAGCTGTGCATTTATTCTTGGCCGGCTCTCGTCTCGACACAACCAGCACTGCGCCACCCTTGCACGCGACTCGCGAATAGTCCGGAACCGTCCAGTTTGGTGAGAAGGGAGGGGGGCGACGGCAGATGACGCAATCCGCGCACCATCGCATTCCGTCAGGCAATGCAATATTCGTTACAATATATTATCAGCCGAAATAGCCACAGCAGTAGAAATATCTCTGTATGTTATTGAAGGTTTATACAATATTTTTACTAGAATTAGAAGGAAACAACGAACTTCAGTACTCGCAGCCTCCTCCCATCAAAATGATATGCGACGGTTTCACATATCTTTTCCGACGTTATGATAGTCGTTGAACACCACTCTTTGGGCATTTGGGCTGTGTGCCATTGGGTGACAAGTCACTTCGCAGCAAATCTGCAGACGCAGGGATTTCAATTTTGAAAGTTCCCACTGAATGTGCAACAATAAAACGTCGCAATTCACCATCGCTCGTGCTTCTGGTATCTCTACATGATACAGTCGAGCAATTCTGTAACAAAGAACTGCTATTTTCACATGACCGTTGACCCTTACTTACCTCCGCACACAGATGCGATGCAGCGATGTTTGTTTCTTTTTTGTTTTTTTATAGGAATAGCGTTACCAAATGCTAGGCTGGTCTAATAAAAATTCTGTTTCTTCATAGAACATTAAAAAATGACCATTACTAATGATAATTAATAATACGTCTTAGTCTGCCACTTATAATTATGTCGTGTCACATTTACTCTATTCTCTTTTGGAAATCTCATAGTTTAAGTGCTATTGCTTTCTAATTCCGAAATTTCTCGAATTTAGGCAAAACTACGTAGAAAAGTGCTGCTGATTACATCCATTTCCAGCGTCAAGTGTCACTTATTGCTGCCGTATGATCTGTGATGCGCGTCAAGTTAATGTGCACTTTACTTTCATACGTTCATTATTTCGCTAATTTGAATTTTTGAAACGATAAGAGGTCATAACGTACGTAAGTTCGTACAATTTAATATTTCGAAGCCTGCGCCCACACCACACCACTAACACAGGTGCGTTTGGTGCGGCCCAGGTATCTTTTCCGCTCGAAAATATTATATATATTTGACAATGAGGAATTTCTCGAAAAATATTCCGATATCTCAATTTTAATAAACCACCAGGTATACATTTTGGATCTTATTCTTAATATCTTTACAAGAGAATTATTATAGAAACTATAAATATTTTTTGCTTGTAACGTAATTAGTATCATAAGTTTTTACTTTCAAAATTACCTTCGTATGGAATCCGCGGTAGTTTTAGTCCCTTCACAAGTTCAGCCGCAATTCAAGAAAAGTGTTGGTTGAAGAGTTTTGCCACTTTTTCCGGATTACTGGCGTCTCTTTCATTATCCTTTAAAACAACATTCTCTACTAAGTAACGAGATGATGTGGTCGTATATTTTACGATATTCCGCATTGCTTTAGTTTTGTTGCTAGCGTTTAAATATCATGAGTATTTTTCATTTCTATTCATTACGTTTCATTTCATGTTGTATTTTTCATTATGTTTCTAATTGGTTTCATAATAACAAATTAATGGTAGTTGAAAAGAAAACGGTTTCAATACAGTTTTCCATTTCTAATAAACAATTCTGTACTCCTGTAATTCAAATAAACGGTGTGTCATTCATTGATGTGAAGGTAACAAAATTTTTAGGTCTTTCAATTCAGTCAAACCTTAAATGAATCTTCCATTTAAATAAATTGAACACAAAATTAAGTTCATTATACTATGCTTTCAGAATTCGTTCAAATTCAGTCAGCCTTTATACTGGACGTTGTGTATATTTCGCGAATGTTCATTCCCGCCTGAGATTGGCATAATATTCTGGGGAAATACATCTTATAGCTCCCAGACTTTCAAATTACAAAAAATAATGGTACATATAATAAGAAGATCCCACACGCGTGATTCTTGTAAGCCAGTTTTTATTATTCTAGGTGTTTTACCATTACCTTGTCTCCTGATTTAGGAATCACTGTTTTTTGTTGAAAATGACTCACTTAAGGGCGGAAATATATTTTAAGCAAATGCCAGTAACTATAACTATAGCACTCGAAGTAGTGATCATATGCATCAGGTGACAGTCTCAACAGCTCACTACAAGCAATTCACATACATGTACATTATTTTACAACCCTATGCCAGATGACATTAAACGATTAAATTTGATGCAAATGTTTAAGTCCCAAGTAAAATATTTTCTGCTGCACAACTGTTTAAAAACAATTAGAGACTACCAAGAATAGAAAAGGAAAGTAATATTAATTTTAACAATGACATTTAGTGTATTATTTACCATTTGGTTTTATAATTGTAAAGAACCTGTAACAAGTATTGTACTTCAGCTTCTGGGTTAATGATCTCCATCTCGATCAGCTTTTTGTCCACATTCTCGAGGAAATGCTGAGATGGCCCCTTGTTTTGCTTCTGGACATAAATGTAACTTCAAATTAACTTCTCCCCATAGCACGTCACACACAGTTTTTAATTGTTTTTTAGGTAAATGTGGACATATTTTAAAATCTATTTATTTTTAGGTTGCCTCACGATATGGGGCAAGCAGCTTTGAGTGGTTTCAACACACTACTCGTACTGACTGGCGTTACATCTCGTGAAGAAGCAGAAAACGCCGCGCCGGAACTGCGGCCGCAGTTCATCGCCCCCTCTCTCAAATCATTGGTTCCTGCACTACGTCGCGTTTCTCTAGCTCCTGGTCTGCAGAGTAATAAGTAGGTTGTTCATTGAAATCGTCATTATTGGGGTAGAGTTGGAATTTATTCGTTCTCATCCTCACGGTATGTTAAAACTTTTAATGAAAATGTTAACACTTTCTGGACGATTAGTAAAATTAACAAATGTCATCGAGTTCTTGAATTTTTTGGGGACACTTTTGGAATTTTAGATTTTTTTTCATGTGTATTAACATGGCTTGCCTAGAAGCATAATTGTTCTTGGAGCATGTAAGTAATAAGTTTTTAATCGGATATTTCTAATAAAAAATTGTCATGAGATGATAACTCTATGACTTCACCCGGCAACTAATGGCGATTTTAGTTTCAACTTGGTGCAACACAATTTCATCTGCACTCTTATATTAAAGCTATTATATGTGAAAAAAGTATTCTTAGCAATCAAAGGTAAGCTCTATTAAAATATATTTTTGACTCTTCAACGCCTTTTTTACCCCTTCAAATTTTTAATTTAGAAAAGCCCAGTCTTACTGCTTTGCATTCATCACACTAGAAACTTACATCTGAGTTTTGTCTCATTTTGCTTCAGTAGGTTAGCTACCATTGATTTGTTTGTCAGTCTGTTTCTCCTTTATACTTTTAATGATTACCTAGTCATTTTTCCGCAGAAGTTGCAAAGAGAACTCTAGAATACTTCAAGTGCAAGGCAGATGTAAATATTGCTTAACATCTCTGAAAATGTTTGCTTATAATTTTATAAAATTTAAATATGAGATGGAAACATCGAAAACGCCCAACTTCGCCAAAATAACGTCCAACCCTCTGTTTATGTTAATTTTAATAAATGAAATTCACGACATGGGGGAAGTCGTTGCTTCACTGAACTTGAAAGTTCAAAATCCCTTTATCAAAATTATGATCAATCTTTCATGTAATTCAAAATTTCAAAAATTACGAAAGATGAGCTGAGGAGAAGTCAGAATTCATCGTTGAAATTTGAATCTTGTAAAAACGCATATGAAAAATATCACTAAACACAAGATCCGTCTTCAATAGATTTTTATTTTGGTCCACAAAATAGCTTCATTCTTATCTTCGAAGGTGTTGTCGTAGAGAGCTCCCCTTTTCTAATTAATGATTTAGTCAAATGGGATGTACCATTGATTTTTCTTACAAGATGTTACGTATTTAGTTAAACTAAATTAAGAAAGATACACTAAATTGGTCTTTTGCAATGGAAAATTTTCGGTGCAGAATGTAAAAGGGGAGCCTCTTATTCAATCCCTTCAATGTTGCGTAAACTTCCAATTCATTAAATTATTGTTTTTTCCTTTCATTTATCGAAATCATGGAATAAATACCAGTGTTATTAATGTGAAAAGTATTTGTTAACAGTAGTACACTCTATTTCTTTTTAAAATTTTATCAACAATATTGGTTTTGAATTTTTCTCTTAAACCGACATTCTTTCAAAACAGTTGAAAAAATCATTTTATTTTCAATTCTTTCCGTTATTACTCCTATTTAAGGCTGATGTTTTCACATCAGTAAGACATTTATTTATTACAGTACTGTCGGTAAATGGAAGACATCATGAAAAATTGTTTAAACGGAATTTTCTGACTTGTCATTTCCCACACACATCTTCGTGACCGTGCATAACGCACATTACGTTCACGTTGCAAAACTTCAAGTAATAATAATATTGTTGTGTGAACGACCGCGGAAAATATATTTAATATTGAGCGGAAATGTATCGCTATGTAACTTACTCTTCCGAACGCGGGCTAGGAAATTTGTTAGTGAAAATTGGTTTCGCTACTACACAGAAGTTGAATGGACAAACGATTGCTCATTCAATTTCTTGGGTACATCGTCACGGGAGAAAGGTGTAATCAAGGATGGTGTTCGTTCACTAAAACATGCCCTTTCAGTACGACTTAATATATCATTACATAGATTCGCGCCCTGATGGCATCGTGGAATGATGGTCTGAAGTGGGTGCCACAGATATAGGAAAGGTCATAAACACAGTCCACAATATTATTTGGAAAAGGAGTTTGTCTGGTGAAGGAGCGAAGACTTTCTATCGGCGCAAGCTATAATCCGGATAATCCTGCTGCTGCCGCCACCGCTGCATTAGATGAAGTAAAAGGTTCATAAATCACGCGTAGGGTTTTTTGACCGGTGTGTGTGGAGGGGAGGCGTTACCAATGATGAGATGAGGTAATATGACATCTTATTAAAATGTTTCTTGCCAACGTCACATGTCGATACTCTTTAATCTTTGTTATAAAATTTAAAAAAAAAAACAAAACAAAAAAAACATCAAAACTGGAAGTATACATTTGTTCATCTTTGGCAGAGGCCACAATCTTCTAGGCTCCGGTGCAGAAAGAGCAAATAGGACCCTTCATTGCTCCTACCATATTTTCTCTGCGTCTGTGAGGATCCTCGACTTCAGGAACCCTGGTGCCGGCCACCGACTGCACCAGTCTAGTTACACCCCTAATCGCTGGACCATCACTACGTAATTATATATAAATGTATAATCATGTAACTTGTATCCTAATGACACTTTTCACATCTCAGGAACAACTTAAAAAAAGATGCGCTCTAGATACCAAAAACTGTTGTTATTCAAGGATTTTGTCAGCTGTTTTTGATATGAATCATTTTTATAGCTTGTCAGTGAAAGTCTCTAATTTCGACACCAGAATGTTTAACGCTCTAGAGAACTTACCGCAGTAATAATATAACCATCAAATCGACTAGCAAATTAACTCTGGTGAATTCGAGAAAAAATCAAAACTCCAAAAAATCCTATTCTGTTTCTTTGTTTGGTCGCATCAACTTTTAGGCCATTAGCGATATATATATATTAATACTAGTAAAATACCCCTGCGTTGCCCTTTTTTTCGTATCCAATCCTTGTGGAAAAAAGGTCTCCGTGTCTCTTTGCCCCGCTGTTTGTCTCTCTATCTGTGCGGCGGCGATGGTGTAACGTTTAGCGTACCGGACTGTTATACCCAAGTTGGTTATACCCTATCGAAGCCGTGATTTTTAAGGGCAAAAAAGTCCTTCGTACTCCTTCTTTCGGAGGGGGAGTAAAGCCGGCTGTCCCATGTAAAAGATCAAGCCTAAATGACGCCTCTGAGCTAAATCGCCTGATTCGTCGCCCAAGAAATACCTCCGTTCTCCGCTACTTGGTGAAAGGAGCGTAGCGAAATTCGCGGCCAGACGGAAGAGAGGGCCTGATGGCTCGAGTATCGTCACGTAAAATAAGGCAACAATTCAATTGTCTCCCATCATTCCTCTCTGTGGCTCTATCGTTCCCTGACTGTCTCTCCGTCTATATATCGCAGCCTCTCTCACGCGCGCCGTCTCTGTCTCCATCACTCTGCATATCTCCGTCTCCCTCTGTCACGCGCGCCCGTCCGGTTCTCCTGGGCCGCGACACGATCACACGGCAACGTAACAATGAAGCTTGTGTGGATCAGTTTGAATGGAAATTGAATTAAAATGAAGTGCAATCTTCTTCTGCATCGACATTTATTAGTTACTGCAAAATTAACAGCACGTAAACCTTCTCGGAGAAAAAACACGTAGATGAGCCACTCGGGCTCGGAGTTTACCGCTTTTAAATATACCAATTTCCATTTTTATATACATATTGGTATATAAAAATCCACATTTATATTTATATACGTGTTGGTATATATGTATATATATATATATATATATATATATATATATATATATATATATATATAGAGAGAGAGAGAGAGAGAGAGAGAGAGAGAGAGAGAGAGAGAGAGAGGAGAGAGAGAGAGGAGAGAGAGAGAGAGAGAGAGATATTAGCAAAATACCCTGCGTTGCCCGATTTTTCCGTATTCAATCCTTGTGAAAAAGAAAACGTCTCCTTGGAGGAAAACAGAGAAGAGAAAAAGGAGAGAGAAGAGGGATCGAGAGCGAGAGCGATCAAAGAAGAAAGAAAGAAAAATTACTCTCTCTCTAGATAGAGAGCGAGAAAAACTACAACTTGGTAGGTACAATTGTATCCAACAACAAAAATATTTATTTACATTTACTTCACTGTATATTTGTCTATATTCTGGCACTCACTAATTTCTCTTTGACAAATTCATCTCATATGAAATATCAAAAAGATATGTAAAAGACAAAAAATGGAAGAAAATTATAGATTATATACAATTCATACTCACCTTAGAATTTGGAAGGTTAAAGATGATTTGTGAGATTCTTTTTAATTTAGAAAGATCTGAAGCATGTACACAAGTTGTCTCATTGTATTTTCTGTGGAGGGTGATGCAGAATCTTAGTGGGCAATAATAAGTACAAAATTATAATGTTCAATTTGTGGCTTTAAATTTAATGATAAAAAGAGGTATTTTAAATGGAAGCAGATATTACTTTACTTTTCTTCAAATTTCCAGGAATATCTCTCTCCAAATTGTTGATCTTTAATTGCTTTTTTTATGTAGACAATCACACTTGAGAAAAAGTTTCCTAGCCTAACAGTTATCAAAATAATTGGGAGTGTCATTAGGTTGTCTATTGCTGGACCATTAAGATATGTATCCAGAAGCAAAAAATGCTCAAATGTAATCTTAAGCAAATTTTTAATTATTACAGAATAAATTAACGGATTGTTTCGGATATCTTGCAATATGGCAGTTGTTGCAACCACCACTCTAGTAAGGATATGACATCAATATCAAAGTTATCAAAACATTGATGAAACAATGAAGAATAGATATATTAAAGCTGTTTTGTAAATGAGCAATTCCCATCAAATTTTGTAAAGTTAAAATATAAAATAATAACATGGTAATACTGTCAGTTTGTGTGTTCACTCCGTATGAATGATGTTTGTAGTGCCTTCATCAAACAGACGATGTCTCACCCAAGATTATCCCTACTCTATTCCCTACATCTTTCCTCATATTTTCCACAGGAGGTGTTTTTTAGCTTTGTTTTCTTGTAAATCATAACTATAAATTAATCAATGGGGCCACTGTGACATTCAATTTTGTGGTGCATGCATTAAATGTTAGAGATTCGAAACTAGCTTTTAAACTTTGATAGTTTTTGGCCGATGTATTATTAATATACTAAAGTATTAATTTGTAAACATCACAAAACTCTAGTCAGAAGGCTGCAGCATTTTGGCTTTGGCAACTTCACCAAGGAAATTACTTCTCAGACAGCCTAAACCACAAGTATATTCAACAAATGCCTTCACATACAAATAATGAAACATTCGTCGTAACCTCCAGTTTTCGTATGGAGATGGACCAACAACGTATCATCTTCAATGCACAATGCTTCCCCAAATGCAAAAAAGTTCATGAAACCACAGTTGAAGATAAACCAAATTCTCATTTCATAAAAAACATTTTGAAACTTAATAGGTTTGTAGGATCATAAAGGGTTTTCTATGAAAATTAAACACCAATGGACTCTCATCAGTCTCCTTTATTAGAATCGTCACAAAGCTAAATGCAGTTCACTTCAAATCATATTAAAATGGAACATGGGGAGGAGAAAAAGTAGTCCCCCGTGGCCTGCTGCAGGCATCGTACCTCTGTCAGATCAGTGGCCAGCACTGATACTGTCAGTCAACGGCATGCTCAGGTCACAGGGCCCTTGGCATGTGCATCGGTCCTTACATCCAAATAGAAAACTCAGTATAAAAAAACAAACCCCATCCTCAATATGCAGTATGAAAACACCAAACTAAAAAGCCTTTTTTGGCAGCCCAGGAGCAGAGGTTTGTGAACAAGACTGCTGTTGGAAGGCAGGAGATCCAAGTAGTTGACGCAGCTATTGTGCACACTCATTCGTGGATTAGTTCTCCAAAATATGCCGTGACAGCCACTAGCTTCTTGTCGAGGAAGTTCTGTTCAATCTCCACCTGCCCTCCAGGACCAGCCAGCATCACCAACTGCAACAAGGGAGGGTGTTTCATTTCAAAAATACTACAAAAAACTATTGTTGTATTATTAAAGTTATTGGTTCATTAAAAAATACTAGTCTAAAATGCCCAGAAAATCCTTAGTGGATTCCAAGAATACAACTACAAAAACAATCACAAGTATTCCAAATTCATATACTTTTTAACTGCCTTTCCAGCTTACAGCTGCGTTTAAGTTTCTTGTCATAAAAAGACAATGTAAAAACATACCACTCAACTTAAGCTTAATCTTCAAATCTTTGACCCCGATAAATAACATAAGTCATGAATTATCAGTTTATTTACCAGGATCAAAGAACTATAACATTATCTCAATTTTTCATACGAGTTATTTAGAAGAAAAAAAGAAGAAGAAAAAAGACACACGTTATCTTATATTCGGAAAAATATGTTATTTAATGGATTATTAGAACACGTAACGGATTTAACATCCACAAGTGACTTTCATGATGTAAAATTTATCTTTAAAATTATGGAAAGAGCAATTTCATGACCTGATTTATTGTCTGAATTGAGTTTGTGAGTTGTAAACAAAAGAATAAGGCAATGTGAGTTCTTTTATGTTTGTCTGATTGAGTTGTGAATTGTGAACTCTCAACACTTCCATAGCTCATGCATCTGGTTGTTCCACAGTTGAAACAAGGGAAACAGTGGTGACGTTTCCAACACTTGGGAATTTTTTGCTAAAAAATACTTTATTTTAACCATCCCATGTCTGTATTTGGATGAAGAATGCATATTCTATTATTGTGAATTTTTTACTTTTATCTTTTGCAAAACCCTGATTTGCACCCACCAGGCATCTAGCTGAGAGTCCAAATTTTACTAACATTTAAATGTGATTGTACACAAAAAAATGTGATTTCAAGAATGTGCAATATTATAAATTTACATAACTTAGATTCAAATATGAAAACTCATGAATGAATTAATTCCTCAATCACCGACATCAAAATGTATTAATATGTTTACACTTTATACAGTGGGCATTTGCCCTTAAAGTAAAATTAAAGAAATAGAAATCCAACACTAAATTTGACTTTTCTGCATTTTGAATCAAGTCAATAGGATCTTAAAAAAATATATTCTATATTTCACAGATTTAAGTTTAAAACAAATTTAAAAATCATATCAACAATTCATTTAAACATTTATATATTTCTACCATCCACTTGGAATCAAGATTTTGAAAATATATACCTGATCTGTGTTAACATTACGTGGCACATAAAGTGCAATATTTTCTGAGATCCTCTGGGATTCACGGAACAAACGAGTACCACCAATTGGCTCCAACAGGGAATCAATATTGTACGCTTCAACTGCCAGATAGCGGGGCCCACCCCATGGTGGGCTTAAGAAAACTACATCTGCACGTAGATATGGCGCCAACTGTAGGAAATCCCCCACTACAAATTCAATACGATCTGCCACTCCATAGATTCTTGCATTATGTTGTGCTAGCGCTACTTTAGCTGGATCAATGTCAATAGCAATCACTGCAAAAAAAGAAAAAAGGACATAAACACGGAATTCAAACTAAAACAGACTTCTTAATTAACAAAACTATATAAATAACCCTTAAAAATATTTCTATAAATATGCAAAAATCAAAAAAACTTTTTTGTCTATAAAAGGTAGGAAAAAAAACAGTGACCAATGATTGCAGAAATTGTAAATTGCTAATCCATATTTTACATAATTGTAAGTGAAGTAATAATAAAAATGTTTATCTACTTGTTAGTCTTTCTGGACTGACAAATCCAATCAACAATATATGTCCATCAAGAAGGTTTTACCAGTTAAAGCCAGCTTCAAGTTTCTTTAATTTAACAAATTTTAATGCAATACTGTATTTAAAAATTCAGCCTTATCTTCTAAAAGCTCAAAATAAAATGGAAATAATATGAATTCTTACCTCTTTCACATGTGAAGGCAAATTGAATTGTATTTCCCCCTGAACCACAAAAAGCATCAACTATGACATCACACTGACAGCGCTCGGCAATATGTTCAGCTACTTTCTCAGGTGTCACTGAGAACCAACTCTCTATAACATGAAAATGTAGATTATTGTTTCTTCTTTGTATCTAACAATCAGCACTAACATTTACATTTTGAATCACATTAAATTCGTTTTGTAATTGTTTATAATATCCAGGAGTTATGGCTGTAAAAGCTAAGTGCAGCTTGTTTCTAATCAGGAACACCCACATTTTGGGCAGGCAGTCATACATTTTAGATTGGACAATACTTTGGGCTCCCCATCCTGATACTCAGGTTACTTCTTGAGTAATACAGGAAATTAAAAATTCCTGCCTGAACTTTCCAAAACCAAAACATTATGACAAGAAAATCCCCACTGTCTGTTACTTAACAGTCCCGTTATCTTACACAGTATACATTTGCTTGCTCCAATTTATTAACTCACCATAGTCCAGACGTACACCCTCATCAAAGCGAGAAAACAACTGGTAGCGGCGCAACCAATACTTTACTAGCCCTGGGTTAGCAGCTATTTCCTCTGGCATCTTTGACATTCGCTTATTTTTCTTGCGCTTCTTCTTTTGTTGGGCTTTTCGTGTGTCATTTGTGCGCCCTTCACTGTCACTTAATGCCTCCTCGCCACATGGCATGTTCTCCATTTCTCCTCCAGATATTGCAGAAGCTCGGGGAGAGCGTGTCTGACAATCGGACAGAGCTACAGGACGTCTACCAGGGGACACAGCACCTTCTTCATCCTCATCAGAACTGGAGTGGCCACCCATTGGACCGGAATTGCTGCCTGATACTTCAAGGAATTGCTTCACCTGTAGCAAGATCAGATCATCCCAAATGGGGAACTCTGACTTTCCATCTTTCTGGCAGAAAAGAAGTGTGGGCTTACTCCCATTCATTTAAGTGAAAGTTAAGTTATACATAGAAAGAACTGTGGAAAAGTTTCCACATGTGAGGGTCATATTTATACTTTCCCTTGCAGCCAATATTTTATAAAACTTGCCACGTTTTCAAAAAAAGTCATTATACCACCAAAAGCTGGTACAACAAAACAAGAGACTAAGAAAATACCATAATTATTAAACTTTTAACATCAATATAACTTTAACATCCACATTTTAGTTTGGAATTCACCAATGCCCCCGCTCTCAGTATTTGTCACTGCCTTTTGACACCTTGATCCACATGCATCACCCTCCCACTCTCGGCCAGCTATTAATGGTTAGTACATACACCCACACATAAAGACATTTAGAACTGTTGAAGAGTGGTTAATAGTGATCCATAGGTTCTTAGAAACATGTAGAAGTGTTTAAAAAATGGGGAGGGAAAGTGGTGGGCAGGAAGCGTATATGCCATGATCCGTGGATTCTTTGACAGCACGTAGCTCTCCATGTCCACAGGCGAACCACCAACTCTTACCATCATTCTATCTACTGCTAAGCAGGGCAGGTGAAGAGATAGGAAGAAAAGGTTACTTGTTTACGTTGTTAGGTGATACAGGTCATGGTGCCTTGAAATAGCCGCAACCAAACCACACTACACAGAAGCTAACATCAACGCCTGAGGCAGGATATTTACCCTACGACCCTTCACATTGAGATTGCTAATGCAAATCATCCTGAAGAGATCTCAGCCCGCCAAGTCAGCAAATATAAAGACCAACAAAATATTCTATGCCTTTATACATATTTTTGTAAAAGATCCTTAGGACTTTAGAAAACGAACAAAGTTTTAAACAAATATCATCCTCCAATTTTGTTGATTTCAGAATATTGCAGATAAATTATTACTTTATCTTTACATATACTATAATTTAACTAAAACCTTTAAAACAATCTGTGAACAGAGTAAATCACAAATTCTTGTTGTCATATGAACAAGTACACTCACAATACATGGAGGTAACTGGAGTTCAGGAGTGACTGGTCAGAGGCCAGGGTATCAGGGAATGCTGGGTGTAAGCCAACAGCTCCCTTCCCCAGATGAGAAACTGGGAGATGGCATATCTGTGGAAGAGAGAGGCACAAGGAGGAGCAGGTTGGTCCAGGAGCTAGACTTTCAAGAAATAATGGAAGTGATCAGAGAGTCAATAACAATGTAAAACCTATTACATTAATTTTGCAAGCATTTTGAAGAGACATGTTCAAAAGATTAATGTTTCTTCAGAAATAGAGCATCTTTTTTCTCCAAAGACTGGCGGGAGCATACTGAAATAAATACATTGCATACATATTCTTGAAAACAATACTTTTAAGTATTTTGATATGCTTGATTGTTTGTAACAAATCAAATTTCATTTTCAAAGCACAATAATGATTACAATTCTAAAACAAAATACAGTGAGCATGAAAGTTACAAAAATTACTGACCTTATCTAATGCTGCATTTCTGGTAGACATGTTTTCACCAGCACCTTTGTACATATTCATCCTGAGATGTCTGTTTTGCAGACGTATGTTTTTCTTGCGGTAAAACACAGAGCCCTGGTGGAAACGAGGAGCACTTGCATGCCGATTATGGGAAGAAGGAGAAAATGCATAGCCCATTAAGGAGAAAGCTCCCTTAACGCGATCCAGGCTAGACTCATCAGAATCACTTTCATGGCTGCAAAACAAATTCTTAGTAATAATCATATTTTAGAAGATTATGAAGATGTGATTGTATATCAAGTGCAACACCAGTGTCCACAACTTGTGATTAATGATTTAGGTAATGATAAATAAGATATTATGTCCATGTCAATATTGAAGTTAGTCATAAAGCAGCTAAAATTACTTAGTACAAAAATAGTATTTTATGACGTATCACTTTCTATTAAGAAATACTTCAATGCAAGCAGCCTATACATTTGCTTAATACATGCCATTTCTATAAGGATTGTGCAATAACTGTGCCAATTATTAAATTGACAATAATTTAATTCATCAAAATAATTCTAGTACGCAAAAATTTGTGAAAACCAACCTTCTCTTAAGTGTGATTGGTTTCTCTTCAGGAGGCTCATCATCATCTCCATCATCGTTTCCAAGTCCACTACTTGGAACATTTGAGCAAGTCCCTGTTGGAGTTGAAGGATGCTGTGATGCATGAGATTGTGGTTGTTGACTACTGTCAGCTGCTGGGTGACTTTTGTCTTCACTTCCACTGTGGTCATCTTTCTCCTCAACTGGATCTGAAGGTTCTGCAGCATTATCGAAAACGCTCATGTTCTGTAGGAGGTAACCTACCGAATCCATTAATCGCCTGTAACAGAATACAAATGTTACACAAAGAACAAAACAACAATTATGAACAAATGCTTCAAAATAGTCACTACTAAAATATACAAACTTCTATAATAAAAAAATTATAATTTTCTTTTCCAAATACACTTTTCTTTCTTTTTAATTGCTTCAAGGCATGTAGCTCACAAACCATACTGTTCAAGAAACTAACTCCAACCCGATGTTTCTTACCGACAGATATTAATAACATTTTGGTGGGTTAACATTTCTGGTGTCATTATTTAAAATATTAAACACACATGTAATAGTCATAATTTAAATATTTTCAATAATTCCAAATTTCACAACAAATATTCTCTATTTCAAAATACAAAACACGTTAGGAAAGCAAGAAAACAAACTTTTGTGCTCAAGGAAAAAGCAAAAGCCTTTCCTGAACCTCACAAGCCATGCAGATATGGCATTTAGTACCACAATTAGCATTGTAACAAAATATAGTGCAATCTCATTACTACATTTCCCTTTTTCATGTTTTCCCACTTAGTACGTTCATATTTTCAAGTCCCAATCCCAATTCCATCAAATTATTCGTTTACACATTTAACACTGCCGCTTAATACGTTCGGTTTGGATAAGTAACTTGCTTTGCAAAAGACACGTGTTTTCTGGTACATCAGCGCCATCTTCAATGTGTGTTATTTTCATGGTACTTTTAAGTACTAATTTACCAGTACTATGAGCTCTCATCTCCATTCTTAATGAACAACTTTCAACCCATTAACATAAAACAAGAGAAGAGCAGAGCTGTAAGTCACTATTGTAAAGAAAAGAATATTTACAAGATTACGTATTAAAAAAATAAAAATGGGTATGAAATGTTTATAAGAAATAATCAATCCCAAAAATAGTTTAACATGTACAAAAGCACAAATTACTGTCAACTGTAGTACTAATAAATAAATAATATAAAGAAATACCAAGATACCTGGAAAACAAAAGGTTATTTCTTCACTTCCACCATTAGCATTTACAGTTAAATTTGTTCATATGCAATTGAATTTTCACAAGTTTGCTTCAAATAAAGCATATTTCAAATAAATAAATTATATGGATGTAGAAAAGGACCAACCTGTCTTTGCGACGTTGACGTAAACGGCTACGTCCTACCGCAAGTGCACGTGACTTGCGTAATCGCTGGGCATTGGCTGTGGTGTGCAAATTACTACAGCGGTTCTCTTCTGAATGACGTTCCACTTCCTCACAACAGTGCCCCGCCATTGTTAAAGACTGTCTGGTTTCTCTGGCAGAAATGTCCTCTATTCTCTCCTCCTTTTCCTGAGAAATTTTCCTAACTGTCCATGCACTCTCTACTGGATGCAGAAGTCCTATGCTCTCTAAACGGTTGGTCTCTGCACAGTCCCTTGACTCACATTGCAATGGAAATGCATCTTCGTGTTCTGTCTTGTGAACAGAAGCTTTGTCACCACTTTCTGCTTCCAAAAACTGTGCCGAGGTAAAAGCTATGTACTGTGACTGGTATTGTTCTTGGAAGTGTTGTTTCCAAAGTTCTTGCCAATACAAATCTACTTCTGAAAGTACTGCTTCTCCACTTGAACCTGAACCTTCTTCAGAGGACAATAAAGACCCACTTCTGACAGAGTCTTCAGTGTCACAATTGAAATCTAAAGAGGAGACTGTGATTCTGGTCACGTTGGTCATCGAATCAGTAGTCATGGTCATATTTGCAATGCTACTGTTCATAGAATCACAACGACTTCCAGCCACATGGTACTCAGATCCATCACTTGACGACTCGTCCGTAGAAAATGGTGTCAATGACTGCCAATCATCTGGAGATGAGCACGCAGCTTTCCCTACAGAACCCGAAGCACTATCTTGAGCAGAACCACACCCAGACACACAACTGAAATGTCTTTCTACAACACAACTTTCTGGCTGATTGTCACCTTCACTGATATTGTCTTCCACACAATCCTTAGCACAAGACACTGCATTATCATCCTTCATGCAACTAATTACATTTGAGGTACTAGCATTGCCTTCCAATCCAGTACCTTCACCGTTATCTCCTGATTTTGGAGATACCACTTCTGATTCTTGTCGGTCCAAATAATCTGGATTGATGTATTCTCCATACTTAGCAATCCAACTTTGCCAAATAAGCCTTTCACCATTATTGGCCCAAAATCTCTCCCAGTTCGACTGTACAGTGTCTTCGTAGGATTCCTCATCTTTTGGTTGAGGTTCTTCATACACATCATGATGGCCAATATGCAAAGAGGGTGAGGAATCTTGTAGACCTGAATGATCAATTACATCACTATGAACATGTCGACAACCATGATGTGTGGCATCTCCTCCACATTCCGAGAGGTCAGCCCCACTGTCACTCAAGTGAAGACCACCTCTCACAGCAATAACTGATGAACCTGGTCCTTCTCTTATACTGTCATGTTCATCTGTTGAATAATTGTTATCAGTGTGGGAAGCACTGCAATAACAGCTAACAGATTCCTCCTGTAACACAACAGATGTAAAAGGCAACACATATAACCTTAATAATTAAAAACATTTAAATAAATGCAGTTTCACTTACATCATGCTTGCTGATGTGTTTAATAGAATGTGACTCAGGGACCGAATTGTGTACATGGTAGTTCAACCTTTCAAAATGATCCGATTCTAAATATACATGGGATTCTTCATCATTGCAATCTGCCTTCTCACACATACCCCCATTAAGTGGTTCACCATTACTGTAGATCGAAAAAATGTTTTACATAGTAACAAATTTATTTTCAAAATATTTCAGTGCAAAAAGACAAAACCATGCGTACCGTATGAACACTCGACTGCACAAGCAATATATGTTTTCCTCTGTCGTATGACCACTCAAGCCAAGATGGACTTCAGCTAGAGGTTCCCAGAGGTGTTCACACATACTAAATAAGAGCTTGAAATTCCAATGGTAGAGAGTACATTACCGAATACCTGAGCCCACAGACTTATGAGTGAAGTTGCAGCTGATCTCAGCTGTTCGTCGAACAAAGGAAGCAATCACTTTTTAATTAGGGAAGTGACCATCAGTCTATCTAAGTAGTCAGTTCATAATAGAAATATACGGTGAGAGGAGACGCTAAGAACAATAATATTCTTTGCATTGCTACTTCGCCTTCTTATTACCCGAATGCCAGCACACAAAGTACTCCCACATATCGTAAGTAAGCGGAAGGCCAGTGATACTCCAGATCCTCTCGTCCAGGGCCCTATAACTCCCATATAACGTGGTGGAGACCATTACAGTGGGGCGCTCTGCTGCATCACCTTCTTACAGGAACTAAAACAGAAACTGCTGCCAACGATACTTTAAACGTGCATGACTGCTGCGTGAGTTCGCGAGTCGCAAGCAGGCCCCATCATGTTACAAAAGATAACGTCTACGTTCGCGCTTTTTTCAGAGGTTTCTTACAAGTAGAGATTATGAATAATTGTACATTTAGAAGACACTTTTCGTATTTCTCACAAATTAGCCAATTTGTATATGGGAAAGTTGGCGATCCCAACCTGCAGCTGCACCCGGCGACACTAGCGCTTCCTATAGTAGCAACCTCGAGCTGTGTCCCCGATTTTGATGGAGAGTTGCCGGGCCCTGCTCTCGTCCCTGCTGTGCTGCTGTCCAACTCCGCAGTAGTGATGCACTCTTTCGGCAGGTGCAGGAATTTCTTTGACCGACAGATGACAGAAACAAGCGGGAGTTTTTAGTTTTCGTCAATTTTAGTAGCTGTTTTACTTCGTCAACAAATCACCAAGTTATTACAGAAGTATCAGAAATGTTATTAAGCTGAATGTCTTCACAGCGAATGGTAAGGATATTAGAAATGAAAGTATATCATTGAAACTTGCGAATTTGTATTTGGGAATATAAAATTATGTTATATTCATAGCAATGAAAACATGTTCCTTTTCAGTTGTTTAATAAGAAGTGCTATTTACAAAATAAAATTTTTCTATTCGTCAAATGATTTTTACCAGTTCTGTGTTTAAATGTTAGTTTTTTGCTCAGGGTAAATTTCTTAAATTAATACTTTGTTATCAAAATGTTTATTAAGTATTGCCTATAAGCTTGTCTTCCCTATAAGTTTCTCTTTTTTGTTTTTCAAGTTTGCCTTATAAAAATTTAAATAATCATGGAAAGGACAAGCTGTTACTATACACAGTGAGAGACTGAAGAAAGTGCTTCGGGGAAAGTCTGATTTAATATTAATAATTTATTAACAATAATTTGATATTGTTGTATTCATCTCATGTATGCTTATTGTGCAATATGAGACTGAGACAGAAATTATAAATCTTAAGAGGACTGGAAATTTTTTTAATATTTACATTATAGTTTTTGTATTTGTTAGGAGTAGATTGAGTTTAAAATATTATAATATCGCAATGTCTGCCCCACAAACACATCTGTTATAACTTCAAAAAATCCAAACCAACTGAAATAAAGCACCTATGGTGCATATCTGTATTAATTTCAATAGACAAGAACAGTAGTCATTTCTTACTTCTACAAATGAAACAACATTAATAAATATAATTGTTATAGTATTTGTAGTGCATTAAGTCAAATCTATTACCCTTCTTAAATCTCTTTCATAAAAATGTTATCTTCATCATCTCATGCCCACGTTCTAAATTGTTTAATGCATCCATAAACCAATGAAACAGTACAATTGTAATTCAACTATGCAAATACTACTTTTTAGCACACATGTAATACAGATTTATGTAATGTAAATGTAGAGACATTGTAAAATTAATGTTAAATGAACAAAGCCTTGATACCGATTCATTAATTTGGACCACCAGCAATCAAAAGAATTCTAAGAGTTGGAAACATGTTGCTAGTCATATTGCCAGTTTGTGAACTGACAGCTTATCAAACAAAGGGCAAGAAATCCAAATTGGACATTTCTTATTTTCTTTGCAATTTTTTGAAACAAAGCCAATGTGAGATTAGCACCACTTTCTTTTCCATTCTTTGCTACATACAAGGAACAAATTTGGAGCCATTTTTGAGAAAATTATTGTTTAAAAAATGCCATAGTTTCAAGCAAACTTGTGCAAAAAATACTCAATTGAAAGTTTTTAAAAGATTGAGAATGTCTTTAACTAAAGAACCAATTGTGAAGAACAAATTTCGTTTCAAGAAAAATATTCAATCTTCAATTTTGTTGTTGTAGGAAGGTACCAAAAAGCTTTAAACTTTTGTAATCTTTGAAAATTTAGAGTTAACAATGAAAAATATGATCTGTGCCATCTTTATAAGTTTATATCCCTCAATTCTTACATGAAATTTAAAGAAAATTTTTAGAGGTATTTTTGAGAAAATTTTGTAAATACTCCAGGACTTCATGTAAAGTACCCCGAAAATTCGAAGAAAGGTTTTCAAAGTCGCCGAGCTTTAAGCCAGGCTAGATTGACCCAGGATTATTAACTTTGGAAATAATTCCACCAATAATTTGGTGCTAATGTTGTTCACAGCCAGACTGACGTTTTTTGGTAATAAACAATTCGTTTCTAGTTTTAGGAAACCTGTGTTGCCATTGAAATCTCAAAATAGATTTTCTGTATTTAATAACTTTCTCTGTACTACTTATATTACATACTTATATATGTGTGTATACAAGAAAGGAAAAATATAAATGCTCTTTGAAATTAGGGAATGTAATTCATTTTAAACAGAAATAATTCAATTCAATTTTTGGTCTCTAATGAAGAGATTGTTTTTAATTAATTTTCAAACAGTTTCAAATGGACTCAGGACGACAAAATCTATGCTCTAACAAAAGTGTTGTTTTTCTGCAAGGAAATTCCCAATTTTTCAACATGTTTCAACAAGTAGGCAATCCACCTATCGAAGGCCTTGTGATGGTAACAAAATGAGCCTCTGTGAGCCCTTCAATTATATTTTATACTTCATCACCAATTACAGGCACCCATCTGTCAGCTATTCAGAGAAAATTTGCCACAGGACCTATTGCCTTCTTGTTCCTCATCCTCTGAGAAATAAGTTTTCTATTTCCTTTTAACAAAACCAATAAGCCAGCATTTAGTTGCCAGTTTTTTTTGGGGGGGGGGCGGGGGTGTCAGATATTGGCCATCTACAGACTACACCAACATGCAGTTGTACCCATCAAGGCCTAGTTATATTTTTCCTGGGGGTATGCACAGGAATTTATTGTGGGGGATCAGCATTTCTATTGAGCCCATTTTTACACCCTAAGGTTGTTAGCCTTGGGAGATGAGATATGAAAATAATGATGATGATGATGAAACGGACAATCACAAACATACATAAAAACACACAAGCACAACCATGCCCAAGTCAGGATTCGAATCCGCGATCTTCTGGTCTGAGATCACTATAGCACTACTGCCTGGTGATCTCGGCCATTGGATTGGCTGACATTATTATAAATTGATTAATTTTTGTATTTAAGAAAAAAAGCATCTTAGCGGTTTTTAAATATAATTGTGATAATACTATCAATGTTTTTTCCATAAATTTTAAACCATATAATATAAAGATTTTTAGTGAGGACAATTTTAGTCATTGCTATTGCATATTGTAAATCTAGGCTCTATCATAAAATTGCAATTATAAATGAACACCAAGATAATAAACTAGAAATATCATTTCTGCTGCTTCAGTTCTTACAGTTAAGATGAGAACATTCAAATATCTCATCTAGACCTTAACATAAGTCTGATAAGATTGGAGCTTATTTCATCTTGTAATTCCAAGAGTCTGTTGAAATTTAGTCAAATTTACTTCCTAGTTACACGTAAAACTGCAATCTACATAAGTAGTTAAAGTTGAAATGTTCTTCTATGAAGTAAAGAGTTGTGCAATTCAATCTTCTGGTAGGTTAGGTTTATTTAAAACACTTACCTTAGTATTAGCAATTTGTTTAATAAGTATATAGTTTTCAGTGTAAAATGTAATCCCCTGCAATTATTAGAACACTAGTAAATACTCTTCAGTTTATTAGTAATAGAAACATGAGAATAATCAGGAGTGTTCATATTTTATCAAATATAGAAAATGCATAATGTAATCATTTAATGATAATTCTATCTGATTCAAGGCTGACTTCTTTTTGTTGCTTCACACTGTAACTTGACATATGACTATCTTTCCATAAATAATAAGTAATCTCTTATTGTTACCAATCATGTATGGGTCTCAGTATGCTGGGATGATTTTCATCACTCGTTTGGGCAATTTTGTGAAGGCATTTACACACTTTTGTTGAAAAAAAATTTTATTAATATTAATAACGTACATGAATAAAACTTTTTCATTAATAAAAAAAAGAAGAAGAAGAACTTGAAGAAAAAAAAGTAGAAATTCGTGCAATACAAGGATAAAAATTCTTTACAATAATCTTCATAACACCATAAACTAGTTAACAGATGCCAAATTTAAAAAGCATCTTAAACAACGTGTAATAAAAAAAGCTTTATAATCTCTACATTAGCAATGAAAGAAAGACTGTATGTTTACTCCATTGCTACTCAAATCAGTTGGCATAAAGAAACAATGAAAATTCCCATGAAAATGTTACATAATAATTATCTTATTACGCATTTTATAATTTAATGACTGTATTACTGCATATGTGATTGTTGAATTATATAACGATATTATATAACCATGATATGTTATTTATTAATTATGTGTTATGTAGGCCTATAGTATTAATTATGTAACACTAACTATGGCTTCAAATTGTATGATAATCAGATGACAATGAATAAATATTATTATTATTATTATTATTATTATTATTATTATAAGATATTATTGTTAGGGGTTCTGCCTATTCTTAGATAAATGTCAGTGAAATAACTAGGTTCAAGAAATGCAAAATTTTTTTGCAGTAAAATCTCTCTTTTAAATACTGGTAATATTCCTTTCTTATATAACACATGCTTTTAGCCATTCATTTGGATTATAGTTTTTCATTTTTGCTAAGGCAAATCTTACATTAAATCCAAAACTTATTTTAAGAAATATTTTAGCATCTTCAAATCATTATTAACTCGTAACTTATATTTTTGTTTTTGCTATTTATTCACTAACAGTTAGCTGTTGATAGAAAAATAAAGATATTACTACTAATTTTGCTGAAATTTCATTACAAGAATTTTACTCATTTACAAATCTAAAATAATTAAATCATTCAAATAAACGTGATTAATTACTGACAAAAAACACTAAAATAGTTAACT